ATGGCATGGCAGGCTGCACCTGGCCCCGGGCTACATTTTGCCCACCCCTGTACCAGCATGAAAGCAGTATCAGGTCTAAGTGGGATCTCACCTTCCTAACTTGCGTGTAACGGAGTAAAGAATTGAGCTGTCTTTAAACAGTTCCTGCTGTATGCCAGAAATTCAGTTTTAAAGGCAAACGGTCTGTGTCCCAGGCCTGACTGCATGAATTAGCTGTTCATAATTCCATGGGAAATGAAAAGTTCCTGACTATTAGCACATTTCCTTAAAGGCTCAGCAGGGAGTGGGAGGGAGTCGACTGTACATCACTCATACAAATATGACCGTTCCGTGGCAATTGTGGGAAGCCTTTTTAACTTCAAATGTTTAAAGTTGTATTATTCACTGTTTCTTCTCATGCAGAGCGACCTTTGGTCTCTGGGAATCACGGCTATAGAAATGGCTGAAGGAGCTCCCCGTAAGTAACTCAGATTCTTTGTTAAAGAGTCAGTCCAAACTGCATGCACATGTCCCAGCCTTTTAAGATAGCTCATCCTCATCTAATGAAATGTAGTTCTGGCTGCCTCCGTTCAAACCATCGGTTGCCCGACTTTTCATACCTATCCTCCATCGCTCACCCTGCACCTTTTAATCCCGTCTGTTTGTATTTTCACTCCATGCCTGCATTGTCCAGGGACACACCGTTCTCTCCAGAGCTTAGATGTGTCTCATTTCATGGGGCACTCTGTACAGATGTGGGGAAGAGCGATTGAAGTTTCTGCAGAAACGTCTGACAGGAGAACACCTGGCAATGGGGAAGGGTGCTGCAGCCCATTGGTAGCAGAGATCCTCTTGCTACTACTCCTAACAGAGGATTCGTCCTGTTCACATAGTTCTGTAATGGAGGAATATACTTTTAGTCTGAAGTCAGGTTCATTGCCCTTTCCTGAGTCTGAAGGTGAAAGCATGCATTTACCCTCCGTGGAATCCTAGAGAAATAGTAGAGAGTGAGGCCCACTCAGGACAGCAAAAGCTCCTGGAGGAAATCCTTCCAGCCACACTTTAGTCCCAATTCTGTTGTGCCTCCATCAGCCCTCCTTGATGGCTCCTCCAGATGTTCTCCTACCCCAGGAGGCTGCCTTGAAAGCATTTGCATTTGCTTTCATATCAAAAGCAGATGCTCCTTGTGATTTAACCTAGCTTCAGATGCAGATCAAAATGCAGAAATCGTCATTTGCCATTTCTGTGTAGGAACTCTTGTTGTAGGTGGTTACACAGGGGTAATGGGATGGGTTTTGCTTAGCAGCACAAAACACAGAGGATGCTAAGCAGCATGGCAATGTGAAGACGCAGTGGGGCATTTGGGTATTGCTGAGCACATGAGTGGTGATCTGATTTGCCGGCACTAGAGAGCATGTGGCTGTGTTTGTAAGCCATTAAGCGTACGGGTCAGACTGTCTTCCTTCCAAATCAGTTTTCAGCACTTAGCTGTTCATGGAAGTGAAGCCGAACTGATTTTAAAAGCATTTTCCCAAACCGTGCTTCGGTCTAGCTAGAACTTAGTTTTGAGACAGGGGTCTGAGAGGATTTCCCTTACAAAAGAAATATTATAGCTTTACAGTCCGAGTCCTCAGTTCAGCTGTGTGCCTCAAGTGTGCTACACGGACTATTTTTGTAGGCAAATATTGCATGGATGCTGCCCTGTATTGTGTTGTGTTCACTATTTGTGTTGTGGTGGTCTCTGGGACAATACCCCACTGTGCTACATGTTGTACGGACATTGCACAAAGGGCATTGATAGATGTGCTATGGGAGGCAAGCGGGGGTGCTTAATTAGTGTAGCTCCAAAAGCCGCACTAATTAAAAGTGCCTGGAACGTCACGTGTACTGCGTCCCCACACTGAAAAATGCCAGCGGGGTGCTTTGAACTAAAGTTCGTTGAACGAGCTGTAGTTTAAAGCTCCCCACCGCCATTTTTCAGCGTGGGGATGCTGATGCATGTGACGCTGGAGTCTGCAGGAGCACGGTAATTACCACGCTGGAGCAGATTCAATTAATCGAGTCTGCTCCTCGGAGCAGCCTCCCTGCATGTGTATAGGAGCCCTAGTGTCTGTGCCCATAAATGTTGCCGTATCCATATGAGATAAGAGGTAGCTGGTAGACTCACACTAAGAGAGTAGACAAGGCAACAGTGAAACCCCGGGCCTGGTCCCTTCTCTTATTTACACTTCTGCATGGGTGTCATTTCATTGTCCTGAATACAGCTACTGCTGTCACTGGGATTGGTATCAGGCGTAATAGTTCCCATCTGTGCTGTATGGGGTGATCAAATGATGTATGGGATGGGATGGCATTTACTTTTCATGGTGTTCTTTATAGCATCAGCTTTCTACAACAACCAAACCAAGAGGAAACAAGTGGGTTTAGAGAGAAACCAGCTTACCAAACAGTCACGTGATCTGTTTGGAAAGCACAGATTGGCCTACTAAGTTTGCACAAATCTCCTCAAATGCAACAGAGCTGAATCTTGTTCTTAGTTGTGTGTTCAGCTCTGGAGCAGTTTGTCAGCTCCCTGCTTCATGCTGACTTCTCCTTTTCATGCTGTTTCTCTTACTGCATGTGCCATAGAACTAGGAGAGGTCGGTTAGTATCTAGTGTATAGCTAAACCAGGCAGACTAAAATAGGTATGTACTATGATCCAGACTGACATTCACGCTGAGGTGTGTATGCCCTTTCAGACACTGAGTATGTGAGCATCTTTATAGTCCACTCAAGCATCAAGGCCTTGTTATTGAATGCCCCTCTTATGGAGCCCTGAAACTCTGAAAAAGTTGCATTGATCTTAACAACAGAGACCTTTTCCTAGATCCAGCAACATTAATTCACTGTGTTGCCCACTAAAAGACCTCCTGTGCTGCAAGGGTTTTCCCTGATCTGGATGGTGAAACCACTGAATAACACAGAGCCCCTATGAATGCTATTCCCCTCTTCCAGAACAGGAGGAATTATAAAGGGCTGCATCTGTAGCTCTCAGATCAGCATGAGCTGTGCCATGTCTTTGCATCACCTGAGCTGTGCCAGAGGGGTCAAAAAAGGTTGGCAGGGCTGGGGCATGCTCATTAATAGCTTGTCTTTTCCTTTGCAGCTTTGTGTGACATGCATCCCATGAGAGCCCTCTTTCTCATCCCACGCAACCCACCCCCAAAACTGAAATCCAGGAAATGGTAAAGACACTGTTTTGCTACAGTTTGGGGTTGCCAGGGGTTTGATGCCTGCAGTCCAGAGGCTGTAATCTTTTTCAGTCTCATAATTCTTCCTGGGGCAAGTGCCGCTTGAGAAGCATGATCTGCATGAGGGCAGATACTCTAGTTTGAAAGGCAGCTGCTCTGCACCAGTGTAAATCACACCACTCTGCTCTAAACTCTGCCTAGATTCAGGGCTTACACTGGTGGCTGAAATTCAAATGTGAAAGGGCCTCTGCAGTTGTTTTGATCATGATTTGGTCAGGAGACTTCTTCAGAGATGCTGTGGTGCTGTAGAAATGAATGTTGGTGGATCAGTACAGGACTGCATGTCCAGATACATCATTATTCAACACATCCCCTAGTATGATGCTAGTGAGTTGATTCTAGCCATTGAAGACCCTATAGCACTCTTGGAAAGAGCAACAAAGTTAGTCCTGTTGTTCTGGCCACAGTCTAAATTAAGCAATTACTGCTTCCCGAAATTCTACCTGGCTGTTTCATGTAGATACAGCGGGTCAAATTCTGCTCAAATTTTCATTCAATATGTGGACTTCCTCTAACGAAAGCATAATTTGACCTACAATACTTCCATGGCTCCTATCTTAAATTTTTGGGTAATACTGGAACATGAAGTACTGTTGAAACGCCTGATCTATTTTGTATCAAAGGAACCTGTTCTCTGTGCTGGCTCCAGATTCAGTGCTTTGGGATCCTGCAGCGGATCTGTGCCTCTGTAAGTTTAAGAGGATTGTATTTCATGTTTGCCTTGGTTTTTTTTTAGGTCAAAAAAGTTTCTTAATTTTGTTGAAAGCTGCCTCGTTAAAAATTATGTGCATCGTCCCTCCACTGAAACCTTGCTCAAACATTCATTTATTCGAGATATGCAAAATGAGCGGCAAGTGCGCATCATGCTGAAAGACCACCTGGACAGGACCAGGAAAAAGAAAGGGGACAAGGGTAAGGCTGAGAACACTACACCCTAGGCTCTTCAAGCCGTACCAAGTCCCAGTGAAGGCAACGATGCATCAGCCCAGCTAAAGCACTGAGAGTTTTGCCAGGTTTTGAAAGAGACTTTCAGTGGTGCCAGGATTTCACTACAGGGTCGGATCCTCAGCTGGGTGCATGGACCTATTTTTTATGAGTGCCTATGTACATGCTCGATGCCTGCTCTGATTACACAAGACACTGCGGGCATTTAATTAGAGCGGCTCCTGAGAGCCGCTCTAATTAAAGCACCCCCAACCTGAACCCCGGAGCATGTGTAAAGACACCCTGTGGCACCAGCCGATGATCTCTCTCAGGAGTGTATTTTACTTTTGCTCATTGCAAGGGTAGAACATATGGCTGGAATATGCAGAGGGATTCAACTTTTGTTGCTGGGGGCAGAATCAGTAGAGAAATAAGCTTCTATGGAGGAAACTCAATAAATAACTCAATTCTCCAAAGAGCTGTGTTAGTAGAAGCTGATCATTTGCAAATATCTGGGCCTGGTTGTATCTGCCAAGTGATTAAAAACTTGCCTCTGGGCTCCTTTGAAAATCTGAATGTCAAAGCCTAAATTCTCAAAGGGAGTTAGGAGCTTAACTCCTGCTTAAGCACCTAACTCCCATGGCTCACCTCCAGTGAAAACAATGGGAGTTATCAACTGAGGTACCTTGGAGGGCAACTCTTACCTGGTAGGATCCAACCATATCTTATCTAAGCCCTCATATCCTAAGACCATGCAGTTCTTCAGGGCATCTTCCAAAGACCAGTTGATGATATCTTCCTGTTTTTCCTTTTCCCATTTTTAAACCTTTTCATATCTGATGCAGAGAGGTCATCAATCCCAAACCTGAGAAGGACTCTCATTGACCCTAGTGGCAGGCCCTATAGCCATTTTTCCCTTGCTGCCATTTGTTAGCAAGAGGTTACTTAGGTTAATAGCAAGCAGTAACATTTTCCAGTTCCGGATTTACATTTTTTCCTCTTTTTTTACTTTTTTAGAAGAAACAGACTATGATTACAGTGGGAGTGAAGAAGAGGATGATGAGCTGAATGAAGATGAAGGAGAACCAAGGTTAATTTTATTAGCAGCATGTAAAATTTGGCTAGCTGGCCTGTCTTCACAGAAGGCTAGTCTCCACAGCCAGATGGTTTTCTTACTGTGTGCTAAAACTTCCAGTGTCATCCACCATGGTTAGCAATTGAATCTTAGGGACTGAAGGGACCTAAGGATCTTCTAGTCCAACCTCCAGCACAAATGCAGGAATGTGCATGTATTGTCGCATAGCTATTGAATATGAATGCTGAGTCAATAATATGTTATTTTCTTAATATCCCAGCCATGGGGAGGGACAGTTTCCAATGAAAATGCAAGATATTCAGGTTCAGTCAAGTGCAATAAATGTAGCTGTATAACCAACAGAACCTGTAGAGATTTAGAGGAACATTTTGATCTGCTAGCAGAGTAATTTCCCCCTGGATGCCTTGTACTTGCTCTATCACCAGAGTGTTACGACTAGTCAGATAGAAGCTGTCCTTGTATTTCAGCTCCATAGTTAATCTCCCTGGTGAGTCCACCCTCCGTCGAGAATTTCTGAGGCTGCAGCAGGAGAACAAGAGCCGTTCTGACCCTCACCACCAGCCACAGCTCCAGCAGCAGCAGCTGAAGGACCAGGAGAAATATAAAAAGCAGCTGCTGACAGAGCGACAGAAGAGGATTGAACAACAAAAAGAACAGAGGAAGAGACTGGAGGATGTAGGCACAGGCTTGTATTATTAATGCCCATCCTTCTAAGTGTCAAGTCAAAATGTGCTAATTTCAAGGACAGAGTTTTGAAAGAAAAAGAAAGTCCTGTTAGAGTGTCGATACAGCTTGGCCTAGAATCTTTAACCGGAGCAATATCTGAACTTTGATTTTTTTTTAAAGGGTTGCTTTCATATTCTTGGAGTTCCCTGCCCGGGTTTTGGGAGAGAAATGCTTACCTCCCACTGGCTTTAATTTGGATATGCACATGTGATGCATTTGCTACCTACAAGGTTATAGTGAAATGGGCAATGATTGGCTCATAGCCATACAGCATAGTAAATCATTTGAGCCTAGGTTGAAATTCCCCCTTGAAAATTGTATAGTAACTTGTCCATATGGAAAAAGTGTTATGCGTCCACTCCCCTTACCTATTTTATTCCAGGGTGGCTGTTTGCCCAATGCAGGTTGGCTCTGCTTCCACTTAGTGGCCAGGCAGTGAAATAGTGCTTACTTGGGAAAACTGGTTTTATGTTTGCTCCTTACTCTGGAGTGAGGATGAAGGTACACTTAGACCCTACTAAGAACACTGAAAACACAAACATCTGTATGTTTAAGATCATTAACTTATGCTAAGTGCCCTCTGAGCATCTCAAAGCTGTGCCACCTCAAGCAAGGGTTAGCTCTGGGCCACACTACCTAACTTCTATTAGGGTAACTTCAGTCTGCTTCATGGAGATAAAATGAGCAATTTTCAGTCTTCCAGCATCCCAAGATGCACCCCTCCCAGCCTCTCTCCGCTTTCCCTTGAGCAGGGATAGAGCCCAGGTATCCTAGCTTAGCAGCCTCTAGTGGCAAGTCAGAGCTGTGCGGGCAAGAAACAGTATTAATCCTTAATGTGCAACTGCTCACAGCTCATTCTCACTTTAACATTGTTAACATCCCAAAGATTTAGTATGGTCTGAGTGTATGCGTAACTTCACCCTTTAAATGTACTACAAAGTAAACTCCACAGTAAATAACAATCTTGTCATGTATATACATGCTATTGGTGGAACCTCAGAAAAATAGAAAGGCTGTACAGGTTTATTCCTATCCCAGTGCGTATGGTCCAAGTCTGAATCTCCCCTCCTGCACCCACACTAGTAGTACCCATGTCTTGGGTGGTGACAGACTTACCACTGTTCAGGCTCTTTGAGGGTGCGGGGTTGCCCCTGGAACAGCACTAAATGATGGAGTTGTGCCTCTTCATGAACCTTAGAAGAAATGTTAGGACAGCAGAGCAACCCACCACTGAGGTTGTTAAAGTTAGTATGAAATGGAGAGAATCCAGAAAACCTTTCCCTGTCCAAATGGCAGGACCTGAAATGAGACCTTTAATACTGGGACTTGTACCCCAGACCTGAGGGTGAAATCCTTACACCGCCCCCTCCCTTCCCCCAATATCAATAGCAGAATTTGCTGACTTTTGGTGCCCAGATTTTACTCCAGGAGTTTTACGATCATGTTTATGGCCACTACACCCCTCAACTCTTCTGCTAGGTCAAAACAAATGTCTCCCAACTGATTGTAGATCTAGAAAGGGTCTTTTGGTTGCACATTTCTCATAATTGTAGCTCATTGCACCTTGGACTAATGATCTATAAAGAAATGAAGTAAGAACAGTGTTGTTTCCTGGCTCTTATCCAGCATCAGAGAGAACAAGAACTCCGAAGGCAGCAGGAGTGTGAGCAGAGATGGCCAGAGATTAAGGTAGTTCAGAGGAGAGATGAGACATGTAAAGAGGAGAACAAACTTGTGGAAGACGAGCGGTGCATGGTAGATGGGCAGAGGAGACCAGAAAGGAAGCAGGTACAACTCATGAACTTGTTGATACAACTTGTGGCTTCGTGTTTAGGTGGCTGGATCCTTTTCAGGTTTTCTAATACAGTCTCATTCCTATAGGTCAAGGACCACACCAAACCCCTCTCCCTCTTTGCTTGTATCCCTTTGAGTTGTACCCTTCAGCAAGGGTACATCCACCCCATTTGTCCTCTCCTTCCACAAGTGTTGTACTTATTGCTGTGCTGCTCCTCACTGAATTAATCTGCAAAACTACCATCTTCTATTGCATCTTGTGTAGGGGAAGTGTCTAGGGATCATTCTTAATTATGGTTGCATTGGCCTGGGTTTTCCCTGGAGCATGGCGCTCTTCTGCATTGACCCCATTATATCTTTCCTGTTACCAGAAGCTAAGGAGGGTGATGTATGTTAGAACGGTGCCCTTCTCTGTGGAAAGGGAATCTGTACAATGGCAGCTTTCCAATTGGCTTGGATTGGCATGTATTTCCCAGTGAAGTTAGAAATTTCAAAGGTTAAATATAGAAAATAGTTAGGACTCTGCTAGAGAGAGTTTAAGATCTAGCATGTTTTGTTCTTTGAAAGCAGAGTGTGACAATTACTTAGAGCAATCCCGTGGTGGGAATGGAATGAAATCCCATCTGATCTCTGAAAAACAACAAGAGGAACTTGGTTCATTGGTCTTTCTCATGTTTCATTTAATCGCCTTTATTGGAAAAGAAAGTCCAGGTTCTCCCTGCTTCTTCTACAGTATTAGTTCTTATATGTCTATTCTCAAAAAGCCATATATTGCATAGCATACAATTCAAATTGAAATAACCCTAGACTTTAGTTTGATTTTAAATATATTTCTCTTACTTTGCATTTATGTTACTCCACTTTAATTTAGATCTGCAAGCTTTTTGCTTTCCTTCAGGCTATGGTCAATCTCATCCCTGTACGTGAAAGTAAAGTGGAGGGATTTTTCAGTGCCTCTGTCTTGTGACTGAAGCCAAACCTAGCATTTTGGCCAGAATGTTTTCATGTTTTAATAGGTGAATCGGTTTATGTTCAAATTGCAGCATAGAAAGTATCTACATGATGAGGTTCAATAAAGCCCTTTGGCTTCTGTAAAAGGCTGGAGCCATTTAAAAAATGAACTATTGAGACCAGTTTGGAGCTGGCAGAGGGAATTTTTGGGTTTGTTTGTTGGTTTCTCTTTTGTTTTAGCTTGTGCTATTTTTAAATCCAATTGTAGGAAGTTAAATGAGACTGCTGAGAGGTCAGAGCTCAGGTCCTTTCTTCTAAGTCCATTATAAAAGGGGAACAAGGAGGGTTAGGCACCCAGCTGAAATCTGCCTCACCTGATTACCCTTCCAGTAACTACTTTTAACACTATTGGCATCATCTCGTTTTCAGAAAAAGGTGGAAGAAGCACAGCACAATAAGAAGATTCAGCGGACACTGCCAAAAGACCAGACACAGCTGCTGTCTCTCCAACATGACCACAAGCAAAAGAACAAAGCACCTCCAAAGGGTTCAAGTGCAGCAGCACACCCTTCTCCAAGCAGCACCAGCAAAGAGGTGTGTTCCTGCCCACAATGCACCATCTATTGGTACAGTGTCACAGAATCATAGAAAATGAGGGTTGGAAGGCACCTCAGAGGTCATCTAAGCTATCCCCCATGCTCAAAGCAGGACCATCCCCAACTAGATCATCCCAGCCAGGGATTTGTTGAGCTGGGACTTAAAAACCTCCAAGAATGGAGATTCCACCACCTTTCTAGGTAATCTGTTCCATTGCTTCACCACCCTCCTAGTCAGAAAGTTATTCCTAATATCCTACCTATACCTTCCTTGCTACAACTTGAGCCCACTGCTCCTTGTTCTGTCACCTGTCACCGCTGCGAACAGTCCAGCTCCATCCTCTTTGCAACCACCCATCAGGGAGTTAAAGGCTGCTATCAAATCCCCTCTCACTCTTTTCTTCTGCCATTTTGCATGTCATTTTTATAATGCTTTGGTAGCTCAGAGAAAGAGGACTGAATAATCTAGGATAAACCTTAACCAAATCTGGGTGTCTTCCCATGTATATCACAGTAGGTGCATCTACAAGTGGAGTTAGCACAGCTGAACAAAGTCTGGTGCATTTTGTGCCAGAGTTTATTGGTTCCAGGCTCAGTGCTTACATATGCACTTGGGACCACAGTATGTTGAGCCAGGGCAGCACAGCCCCAGCTGGCAAAGGGCCTGGAGGGTCAGGCTGCCAGCCTACAGCTACTCCCTCTGGGGTCAACGTGCTGCAGAGGGGCTGGCTGGGACACAAGGGTGCTGCAGTGTAGGGCTAACTGGCAGGCAGCCCTCACGTTGTAGCACCCTCATGCCCCAGCCAGCCCCAGTCGCCATCTACACGTGTTGTGGAGCACTGAATAACTTCCACAGTACATGTGTTGGGCAGGACTATCCTACGGCAGAGGTAATTTGTTTACTCCAGCCTAATAGCACTGCACATATAAATGGTGACGCTTTACTACAGAGCTAATTAGTCAAGTCCTCAGTAAAGCACATGTGTAGATGCCCCCAGTGAAGCCTTATTAGCTTTGCTTCTCCTTCTTCCACTCTAGTTCCAGATAGATTTGACCACCGTGTGGAAAATAATGAGATACCTTCTTCAAGCCTGCATGGCCCACATTCCACAAAACCACCTATAATCTGTATAACCAATCTAGAGTCTCTTAAGATATCACTTCCTTGCCTTTCAAGTGGGGGATAAACAAAACTTGTGACCTAAGAGCTGTAAAACCTCTCAGACTGATTTTAGACAAAATCTGATAAAACTGAGTGAGATTTACAAACTTTTCTCTTTTGCAGTTTAATCCCAAGCACAGGTTTTTAGATTGTTTTGGCCAACAGGCAAACATTGTAACAGCCATTGCCTTTCATTGGTTTTAAGGATCTCTAGCTAGTTAATTTTGATTTGTTTTCTTATGTTTAGTTAGCTTGGGTTTTCCGATCCAAAAAGATTTTGATTCTGTTCATTGTTTGGGATTGCATCATTTTGTCTTGTTACTGTTGGCTCCTTCATCTTCCTTATCTATAGATGCAGTACACATTGTATAAACTGTATTACCCCATAACTTCCAGCTCCTCCACTCTGTCATAAAATTCCCAGCTGCAAATTCAGTTCTGCAACCTGTGCGAGATGATATTGAAATACATCATGAAGTATTTTGCTGGATCAGGTCCCAAATGCTCGGGGCCCAGCAAGGTCAATTTTGATATGAAGCTGTAAGGACGGAGGATCGTTCATAGCAAAACACATCCCAGAATATCGGAGTACAGGCTTTAGGGAGGACTGTATGTGAAAAACAGAACACTGCCAAGTAGCATACCTTGCTTCAGTGTCGAACTGAGTGCAGGCTTTGATGTTATCAGAGTCTGAATGTTAGACAAAGAGATCTGCAGATGATCCCAGGTGGAATTTTCTGCTAATAAACAACTAAATAACATTGGTTTGCTCAGCTGTGGAAATGACACACTTTAATAACAGAAAACAAGCAGTGATATGAAATCAGTTCAATAAAACAAATGATGCAAGGCCTGTATATCTTCATAGCTATTTGCGAAGACAGAAGAATGCATAATTCTGTCGAAGTACAACAGTCGAAAAAACAAACACCCAGCCTCCCAGAGGTTTGCTATATTAAGGGAGTAAAGAATGATCAGTGGGCACAATGACATGAGATGCTAAATGTGCAGTAGACTACTGCGCATTAACGTGTCACAGCAAAAGCCATACTAACGTGCAGTAGAATTAGTCTACTCACATTAAGCATCACAAAAAGACCATGCACCGATGCTACTGCACATTTAGTTAATACCTTCTGTTAGAAGTATTGAACTTAATGTGGAGTAACAACAGTGCATTAATGCATGTGTAGACATACCCAGTGAAATCAGACTTAGCTCTTTCTGAAGTCAGTATTTGTCTTTGGAAAGCTAGCTGTAGCCACGGGATCAAGTGGGGTCTGCAAACTGTGGAAACAAGCCATTTACTAAATGCACACATCCAATTGTCAATAGATGCATTTTACCATAGATTTGCGATAGCAGGAAAAATGCTACTCTGTGTTGAATAAACTTTCTGTTTGGTCGTAGCCCACAGGGGAAAAAGCCAGCAAAATGTCAGCTCAAATATTCATCTAACTTTTGGCATACATTCCATAAAGGACTTCCCTGCACCAGAAAAAAATGTATTCTAGAATTTAGTCTATACAGTTCCTGTTATATTTTAATCTCAGTGTCGACCTCATCTGGAAATAAAAGAGAAAGGGTGAAGTCATATAAAAAAGCCATTTCTTAAAGTGCTAGTTATCTTCTGCATTCCCAGTACTATGCTGCAGCCATTTTGATCATAGATTCATAGATTATAAGGCCGGAAGGGACCTCAGAAGATCGTGGGGTCCAGCCCCATCATGGTTTATATATTCTATATATAGAATAGATTTTATTTTAATTGTGTTTGTACATCACTATTTTTCTCAAAGTTTCTGGAAGAATGTTGCAGGAATGTTGTTCTGTTCATATACAAATGAGTGGAACAGGTCTATTTTTGTCAATGTTTTGGACACTGAACATATTTTACAACTGTGATATTTCAAAATATTTTAACCATCTCTAAAAAATTGATCTCGTATTTCTTTGCTATCCTGTTATATTGAGCTCTCTCCCATTGTATTAACCAAAAATTGCACTATGATAAACACAGCTTTTGACAGAAATGACTTACTCTTTCAGAGCTCGTTTGGCAGAAAGCTGGGTATTTTTTTTTTACATCAGCTAGTACTTCTGTGAGACCTAGCTGAACAACACGCATTCGAAGTCCAGCCATAATGGCCGTACAACTCATCTGGGAAGTCTAAAAATGTGAGAGACAATAAGAACATAAGATTTGCCATACTGGGCATACTGGGTCAGACCAATGGTTCTTCTAGACAAGTATGGTCTCCAGTGGTGGCAGAAGTGGATGCCATAGAGGGAGAGCAGTGAGTCAGATATCAGTGATCCATCCCTTATTCAATACCCCCTCTGGCATGCACCATTATTGGTTTAGAGATGCAAAGGAAACATCTGCAACTGTTCCTGTTCAATAGCCAGAATCTATCCAGCTCTTTTTTGAGCCTGACTATGCTCTCTTCCTCCCCCACTTCCTGTGACAATGAATTCCATAAGTTAACTATCCATTGCTCAAGAAAATACTTTCTCTTGTTAGTTTTAAACCTGTCACCTACTAATTTCAGTGTATGCCCACTAGTTCTAGCATTCTGGGACATGGTGGACAATGGTTCCCTGTTCACTTGGTCTACACCCTTCGAAGTTTAATAGGCCTCTGTCATACCTCCCCTCCACTCCCCACCCCACCCCATCCCATCCCATCCCATCCCTTCTTCTTTCCAAACTAAACAGTCCTTGCCTTTTTAGTCTTTCCTGGTATGGCAGCTGCTCCAGACCCCTGATCATTTCTGTTGCCTTTCTCTGTACCTTTTCTAATTCTACTGCATCCTTTTTGAGATGTAGGGACCAGAGCTGTATTCTGTATTCAGGATGTGAGAGTGCCATGGATTTGTTACAATAACACAATGACATTCTCCATTTTGTTTTCACGTCCCTTCTACTGATACCTAGCATTAGAGAACTATCTACAGTGACGTCAAGGTTTCTTTCCTGAGTCGTAACAGCTTATTCAGAACCCAGCATTGTTCAGAACCCAGAAGTTATTTTTTGCCATGGACATTACCTTGCACTTGTCGACATTGAAGTGCATTTGCTATTTTTTTGCATGCTCACTTAGCTTGGTGAAATCTTTCTGCAGCTCCTCTCCATCAGCTTGGGACTTGACTACCCAAAAAGAATTTGTGTGGGTGATAGCTTTCATTAGACCAACTGTATGGTTGGGATAGACATAGACAAGGTTTCAGGTATTACAGTTCCCTTCTTCTGGCCTCTGGATGAGAAGTAGACATAGCAGAGCTAATTAGCAGATGGAACAAAACCTTATGTAAAATCCCAAATTTAAAGAAAAACAGCATTACGTAGCTACATTTTGATTTCTGCATTCTTGTTACTTTAATTTTGACATTTTTTCTTGCTTGTGTGAAATTGTATCCTTTATGGATAGAGGGTAGAGAATGAAAGCCTCATTCCAATGCAAATGTTGCCATTGATGGACCAGGGATTTCATCCCAGGTTCTTGATATGTTGTAGGTTTCGGCTGTAATAGGTTCTTTTTTAATAAATAGCTGCAAGGCTAATGGGACTTGCTTTCCATCACAAGACATTTGGCAGGCTCCCAGCATACGTGCAGTTTGATGTTAATGAAATGATTGCTCACCTTCCTGACACAGGCATAAGCACCCAGCCATAGTGCTAGGTGCATTATAATACCTGTCTAGAAACAGATAGAGTGGGAAGATGTAGCATTAATTTCCAGCTGACTCTGTAAAAGTCTGTTCCTTAACTGCGGAATCAGAGTCTGTCTTAAAGATTTATGCTCCTGAACTGGTATTACTTATACTGAGTAAAGC